GGTTTGTCCCCTTTTCCCTCTGGTGGTCACTTGACTGTGATCTTCCTCGTCTCCTTTTCTCTTCTCTGGCTTGATGATTGTCCCCTTTTCCCTCTGGTGGTCACTTGACTGTGATCTTCCTCATCTCCTTTTCTCTTCTCTTGCTTGACGGTTTGTCCCCTTTTCCCTCTGGTGGTCACTTGACTGTGATCTTCCTCATCTCCTTTTCTCTTCTCTGGCTTGATGATTGTCCCCTTTTCCCTCTGGTCCAAAGGAGCTTGACCTAGTGTGGCAGCTGTTGCCTTTGCATAATGATGGGTTGCGGGGAAACAGGTGGGTTAACTTTCCTGGCAGAGTCACGGCAACTGGAAGAAGTTACCTCCACCATGTCAATTGGCCCTTCCCCTCAATCTGGATATTTTTTTAAGTATATGGCAACAGGGAAAGTCTGTGCCTTTCCTAACCTTTTTTTTTTTTTTCAAGTAAATAAGTTAAGAAGGATTCTTAATGAATTCCTCAGGCTTTTCTCCATTTGTCTTGCAGATTTGATGGAGAACACCTGCTTTTCTTGGTCATCTGCTAGAGAAAAATCTGTTTCTCTTGCCCTTGGATTTGCGGCTCATCAGAAGGTAGGAAAAGGAGATAATGTAATTTATTTAAGCACTCGTCTGGCAGGCGTGGCTCAAGACATCATGAATGATACGTTTTTCATGAATAAAATACATTTTCATGCACTCATTGAATCCCAGAAGCTGAACAACTCAGACGATGTTAGATACAGAAAAGCATTTCTAAATTAATCCGTGGTCCACACTTTTGCCAAAGTCTGGCAGTAGAGTCATTTTAGGACAGGGGTTGGCAAACTGCAGCTGTAAAGGGCCAGACAGTAAATATCTTCTGCTTTGGTTGTGGCCACATGGGCTCTGCTGCAAACACTCGATTCTGCAGTCATGAAAGCAGACACAGATGATGCCCAGGGGTGGCTGTGTGCTAATAAAACTTTATTTGCAAAAACAGGTGGCTGGTTTGTTTTGGCCCAGAGCCTCCTGTTTTAGGGCAATAGGTTTAAAGCAATAAAATAAAAGCCATAGATAACGTATAGAAACATAATTCTCAAAGGAAGCAAAACAGAAACAATGTGTATTAGAGAAACCTAGAATGAATGCTAAAAAGGCAGATTCGGGGCCCCACCGCAGACCTACAGTTTCTGAATCACTGGCAGGTAGGACCTGGAAGTCTGCGTATTAGTCTATATCCCAGAAGATTGTTCTGCGTAAACCTGACAACTGATGCCTCTCTAGAGCCATAGATGTGTAAGTTGGCTCACCTAGGAAGTAGCCAACTTAGGAGGATGCAGATCCAACGGTAGTCGGGGGGGCGCTTTCATCCTTTCCGTGTTGTGTTCTCTCTTCATTCCGGGCACAGTAAATTCACTGGTTAAGAGAGTAGGATTTTGAATCAAGTAAACATGGCTTCAGATGCAGGAAATGCCACTTACTAATTGGGAGACTTTTGACACGCTGTTTTCTTTCGATTTCTTTGTTGGTGAAGTTGAGGTTATACCTCTGATATTGGGCCAAAGTGAGGTACAAATGCAATAAGGACTGCAAAGTGCTTAGCAGCCTTTCTGGATACCAGCAGTCACTTTGAATAGGTGTTTTGATGCAGTTGTTACCTACTTTTGATTCTGTGGCTAACAGAAGCCCATTCTGTTCAGGATCCTAGCAAAACTCTGCATTCATGCTGGTGAGGGATGCCCAGAGTTCCAGCCTCTGGCCCACAGATCACCTCGGTGCAATCAGAACCAGCAGCCTTCTCCTCTGTGCTCCAATAGCAAGTCACTTGATTTCAACCCAGATCATAGAAAGAAACAAAGATGAGTCGTTTCAGGGCCTCTGAGGACTGGTCTGTTTACCCATTTTAGAACTAAATCCTTTACTTCTAAGAGAATATGGACAGAGTGAATCTTAAGAGTAATAATGACACTGGCCCAGTGTTATGTGACAGATGTATCTTGCCTTCATCCTTAAGGCACCATGAAGTGGCAAAGACCACTTACGCTGCATCACGGGGGGAAAGGGCAAGTCAGAGAATTTATGGGTTTTCTCAGCGTGTGCAGTTGGTAATATCAGAGCTGAGGTTTGCACACAGAACCGCCTATCTCAAACCCTCTCTCCGCCATCATTTTCAGCACTTGCCGTCCGTAATAACCAACCCTGGAAGTTTGAAAACAGTGCAACTGCTCCCTCCATCCCCCAGGATTCTGACTCAGTTGGTCTGGAGTGGGACTCGGCATTTGCATTTTTCAAGGCTTCTCTTGTGTGTCAGGGTTGAGCACTACTGCTCTTTGTACTAGTTTGTTATTTAAATCTGCCTGTTTTCTTCTTGTAAGTGACCCCCTTCCTTTTATGTGTCAATATTATTAACTACAATTATCTCTAAACATCTCTAATGCTAAGTTGAGAGCTAGCCAAATACTAGGATATTTAAAAACCTTGTCTTGACGTCAAGCGTGGAAGATCAAATACACTAACTTTGTGGTCGCTAGTAAGCGTTCCCAGTGTTTGTCTAGCTCCAAAAAAATCATTGTTTTTTTGGCATCTAAAACCAGTCCATTCCACAAACCACGTTTGCTTCTGATCAAAGGCAATTTTAGGTCACTGACTAAGTGGAACTGGTCCAGCTAGTCGTGCCCAGTCTGGTGGTGTCATCCACTCTAAAGAAGGTGAACAAAATTAAGCCGTGTTAGGTGAGTTGATATTACTGGACTAATTAGGGACCTGGCTCTGGTAAACTTTGATTTTCCTGTGCTCCTTGAGCCCGCAGACTCTCAGAGGGCATGGGCTATAGAAGAGCAACCTGAGGAGCTGAGGGCGGGTGAATAGATGGGTACCCTTCCGTGAAGTACTGATGCCAGGTGCCAAGACCACCTGCAGAGAGGGCCGTGGGAGAAACGGTATGGGACTTGGGTCTAAATCTAGCTGGAGTCGATTCTCCTTCCGTGTGACCTGTGGCATGTTGTCTGCCTGCTGGAGGCTTTTGAAAAAAATCTTAACCTGGGGCTTTGCTGGTGGCGCAGTGGTTGAGAGTCCGCCTGCCGATGCAGGGGACGCGGGTTCGTGCCCCGGTCCGGGAGGGTCCCACATGCCGCGGGGCGGCTGGGCCCGTGAGCCATGGCCGCCGAGACTGCGCATCCAGAGCCTGTGCTCCGCGACGGGAGAGGCCACGGCAGTGAGAGGCCTGCGTACTGCAAAAAAAAAAAGAAAGAAAGAAAGAAAAAAAGAAAGAAAAAGAAAAAAAAGGAAAAGAAAAAGAAAGGAAAGGAAAAGGAAAAGGGAAAGGAAAGAAAAGAAAAAAGAAAAGAGAAGAAAAGAAAAGAACCTGGAGAAAATAAGACCTGCCTTTCAAGGTTGTGAATCTCAGTTGTGCAGACCACGAAGAAGTACATGATGAGAATTCAGTAAGGAAGGTTACTTTTGCTTATGCACATCAGGCTTTTTTGTTGTGTGAGCTGTGTATGTGATGCATGATTATTTACTGCCTTAGCAGCTGTGTTAAGAGAACTGATCTTTAGTCCTTGAATTCCCTTGGCATCAACAATTCCGTGTTTGTCAGCTAGGGAATACAAGTTCTGAGTAGTTCAAGAGGTGAACTGATGGTATTTAGAGCGAATACCTTAGTCTGTCACATCTTGGATAGGTTTAGTTCAGAATTGGGGTTGGTAGTATTCTATTTTAAAACGGGATTACTGTATTTTTCACGATGTTGACATTTCTAGTTTCTTGTGCAGTCTCTTCCAGGTTTGTGGGGAAAGTATATCTTTCTTGTATTTTGATAGGCTTTTAAACCTATAATTTATTTATCATTAAGGGTAACAGAAAATGCAGCTAATGTTAATAGCAGTTTCATGTGGTTTTGAAGACTACCAGGAAATCCAGTGGTGGTGCGTACACCCTGTATTGGTGATTGAGATTCCTTCTTTTATATGAGCATTTATGTGTGTGGAATAACATACTGTAGTTCCTCATTAGGGACGAAACTGGACCAAGCGAGGTGATTTGGGATCTGCTAAAGGGTCTGGATTTGAGTCTACTTAAAGCAGTTATACTAATTTATCCTGAATGGATCTGAAGGGCCGTGGAGCTTCATGGGTTATGGTTACTTGTGTGTGAGGCGACCAGAGCTCTAGGTAAGAGTTTCTCAACCTGGACACAGTTGGCATTTGGGGTTGACATTTGGGGCTCTGTGCTGCTGGTGTTAAGAGGAGGGCTGTGCTGCGCACTGCAGGGTGGTGAGCGGCAGCCCTGGCCTCTGCCCACTTGATGCCAGGAGCACCCCTTCCCAGTCGTCTCCAGACATGGCTACACAGTTCCTGGGAGGCAGAACTGCCCCCACTGAGAACCACCATGAAAATGGAGGTGCTTCTCCATTGCTGGAGAAGATGCTCTTACCTGTTTTCATGACTGTTTGGGCCTGGGGCAAGGTAGACCTTTTCCTGAATAAGTTCATCGCCGGGTGTGAGGGTTCAAGGACCGCTGAGTAGTTTTACATGGTTTTCAGAGACTCTGTTAAAAGGGGGATTTGATCCAAGGTTAGAGTCAGAAGTGAGAGGAACTAAGTTTTAGAAGCTAAGTGTTCTGCAGTGGGGGCAGTGCGTATCAACGAGAGGCAGCAGTTCCAGGACTGGGTTCTCGCTGTGGTCTCAGTGGCCCTAAGACTTCTCTGCTTCCTGGTCCCCCTGCATGTCCGTCGTGACTGACTGGAGAAACTGACACTGGGCATTTTGCTGAAGTCAGCAGGATGCACCGCCAGGAAGGCACAGGCTACACCTGTCTTGCTCTGCATTTCACATGAGTGGCTGGAAGAGGGCCCATCGTGAAGTAGCATTTAATAAATGTTTTTTTTAGAAATGAATAGACGTACAAATAAATTACAGGGGAGATAAGTACGTCAAAGGATCTGGGAAGAGCTCTTGTTTTGCTTCCAATTTGTGAAGCAAGTCACTTCGTCTTCCTGAATATCCTGAGCTGAGAAATGGGTAACTGTGTTAGGTGATCCTGGAGGCTTCTTCCCGCTATGAAATTTCAGGGTTTCTGGCAAGGTCACAGACAGTGTTACATAAGTGTTGCTATGAAAGTTCTTCGGAGCTTGAGCTGTGAGTGCTTGTGTGTCGGGCAACCTGGCCACACAAGTCAGGGTCTGTTCCACCAAAGGTGATCAGAAAACTTCGGGGCAGAGTTACCCAAAAGAACACCTGCCACAGGTGGAGTTAAAATGAGGAGCAGACAGAGGCGAGCCGCAAGACTACATGATCTTTTCATTCTTTTTTTTTGATATAAATTTATTTATTTATTTTTGGCTGCTTTGGGTCTTCGTTCCTGCGCACGGGCTTTCTCTAGTTGTAGTGAGCGGGGGCTCCTCTTGTTGTGGAGCACGGGCTCTAGGCACGCGGGCTTCAGTAGTTGTGGTTCACGGGCTCTAGAGCACAGGCTTTGTAGTTGTGGCACGCAGGCTCAGTAGTTGTGGCTCGCAGGCTCTAGAGCGCAGGCTCAGTAGCTGCGGCTCACGGGCTTAGTTGCCCCTTGGCATGTGGGATCTTCCCAGACCAGGGCTCGAACCCGTGTCCCCT